CTAGGCCAGTCCTTCATAAATCCAACCCACTAACAGAACAAATGCTACCCAAGCAATAAGCTCAGGTGCAAGTCCGACTCAAATCCAACCCCTCTCATTCGTGTATTTATCCAACCTAAATTTGAAACTACCCAAGCCATAGCTTTTAGAACATAAGAAAGAAGGAACACTGCAATAAGCCTGTTGGCCCATACTAGGCCGGTCCTTCACAAATCCAACCCACTAACAGAACAAATGCTACCTAAGCAATAAGCTCAGGTGCAAGTCCGACTCAAATCCAACCCCTCTCACTCATGTATTTATCCAACCTAAATTTGAAACTACCCAATGTTTTAGCTTCGATCACCCTACTAGGCAGACTGTTCCACTCATCAACTACCACTATTACCAATGTTCATTTATACATTTTATTAGTGCTTTACATTTGGCATTTTTTCTGCATGTAAATCTATATTTATGCTAGGGAAGTGACCCCTGAAGTGACCTAGAGTCCTTATGGAAGGGGATTTCCCTTCCAAACAATAACCTCTCTTCCCTCTCTCCTCCTCCTCCCTGTCTTCCATTCATCAACAACAGCCTTCAGTAAAGGTAACTGTCATGTTGAATGTTCATTCTTTTGTGCATGTAAATCTATCTTTTAGGTAAAAAAAAAAATTGTTATTGATACTTCTGGGTGTCTGGAATGAATTAATTGGATTTACATTATTTCTTATGGGGAAAATTGATTCGAAAATCGTCTATTTCGATAATAGTCCCACTTCCAGGAACGGATTAAGGACGATAATTGAGGGACCACTGTATACTTATACCAATGCTCTTGTATGGGTGTGAGGCATGGGTTGTGAATGCTGCAACAAGGAGAAGGCTGGAGGCAACAGATGTCATGTCTGAGGGCAATGTGTGGTGTGAGTATTATGCAGAGAATCCATAGTTTGGAGATTAGGAGGTGTGGGATTACCAAAACTTATCCAGAGGGCCGAGGAGGGGTTAGCGAGATGATTTGGTCATGTAGAGAGGGTGGAACGAAATAGAATGACTTCAAGAGTGTATAAATCTGAAGTGGAGGGAAGGCGGGGTAGGGGTTGGCCTATGAAAGGATGGAGGGAGGGGGTAAAGGACGTTTTGCATGTGAAGGGATTGGATTTCAAGCAAGTGTGTGTGAGCGTGTTAGATAGGAGCACATGGAAACAAATGGTTTTTAGGACTATGTGCTGTTGAAGTGTAAGCAAGGCAATATCTATGAAGGGATTCAGGGGAAACTGGCAGATTGGACTCGATTCCTAGAGACAGGAAGTAAAGTGCTGGCATTCTGAAGGAGGTGTGTTAACCCTTTCAGGGTCCAAGGCCAAAATCTGAAGTGGTACCCCAGTGTCCAAGAATTTTCAAAAAAAAAAAGTTATTTTTTCTTATGAAATGGTAGAGAATCTTTTTGTGAGGGTAATAAAACAAAAAGTATGAAATTTGATTTGAAAATTGACGAAATTATGCTCTCGCGAATTTCGATGTGTCAGCAATATTTACGAATCGGCGATTTTGCTGAATTTGACTCCCATTTTAGGCCAATTACATTATTCCAGTCAACCAAATTCTTAGCTATTTCACTAGTATTACTTCTATTCTATCAATTGAGCACAAGAAATCGCCAAGTCAACTGTTACAACTACAAAATAAAGTGATCGGAAATTGGTAATTTGGCCAATTGAACACAAAGTTCAAAATATTCCAATTTCAAAATAGGGTCCAGAATAAACAATGTAGGTATTCCTGGCACTAAACTAACATTTCCTCTGTTCATTAGTTATGTTTTAAGGCTTTACAAATAAATTCCATTTTGATTTTTTATTCACATAATGAATTTTTATTCACACCAAAAAATAGAAGATTTACTGTTATGTAATATTGTAATAATCGTATAAATATCATTACCACATTTGTGAATGTATATTAGACCCACCAGCTGGCGTGTATTAGATGTGTGAGGTCGTTTGTTTACTCTTGAATATTGGCAAAAATTTAACATTTCCGCTTTGAGCTCAGTTTCAAGCCATTTCCAGTGCTAAAACCAATCAAAATCATCTCTATTTCTGTAATATGTCTTCCATTCTATCAAATGAGACCAAGAAATCGCAAATACAACTATAAAAAACATACGAAAAAACACTGCAAAGTCGCTGTTTTAATCGAAAATCAGTCTCAGTTTTTTTTTCTATTATACACAGTGCTGCAGGATTTGTTTTATGTAGTGCACACATACCACATAGATGTATTCTCTCATATCTAGGCCCAAATTTACCACTCACAGTTTACCAGAGTGAGCTGAGCTCATGGCGTAGATCTACGGTTTGGACCCCGAACGTAAAGCCATAGATCTACGGGATGGGCCCTGAAAGGGTTAATGTTGCAGTTTTATAAATGAAGTGTACGCATGCCTCTGGCAAGACAGTAATGGAGTGAATGATGATGAAAGTTTTTCTTTTTCGGGTCACCCTGCCTTGGTGGGAAACAGCTGATGTGTTAATAAAAAATAATAAAGAATGTAGTATCAGGGGATGCAACAAAGGTTCATGGTAATACAAGGTTAGGTGCAAGAAGCAAGACATCTGCTTGGTGTAATAATTAAATAGTGACAAGACTGAAAAAGTTCATGCTTATTAGGGTTTTACACAAAAAAATACTACTGAGAAAATCTGGAAGGAGAAAGGTAAGATAAGAAACCCAAGGAAACAGACATGTCTGTTAAAAATCTAAAAGTAACAGCAGATTGTTGAATATTTTAAAAAAGACTATTTAAAAAATGTTATGTAAGCAATATTTTTTTTAACACCAGCTGCCTCCTGGAAAAAAAAAAAAAAAAAAAAAAAAAAAGTGTCTTCCCAGAAGTGCAGTGACATCACAACTCAGATGGCCCTCTGAACTGCAAACTCCACATCCCTCTTTCAGAGTGGAAGCACCATACTTCCCACCTCCAGGATTCAAGATTGTCCAACCCATATCACCAATCCTCTTCAATCACAAAAACCTCTTGCTTTCACTCATTCGAATCTATCATGCTCACACAAGCCTGTTGGATATTTAAGCTCCTAGCACTCAAAGCCTCCCTTACTCCATCCTTCCAACCCTTTTTAGGATGACCCTTACCCCTCCTTCCCTCCACCCCAGATTTATATCCCTCTACTCATCCTATTTTTCTCCATCCTCTCTAAATGCCCACTGTCTCAACAACCCCTCCTCCACCTTCTGAATAATGCTTTTGTTAACTTCACACATTATCCCCAAATTCTGAATGCTCTCCATAATATTCACACCAATCATTACCCTCAAACACTACATCTCCACTGCCTCCAGCATAATGCCAATGGTGGCATTTTTAAAATTGCTTGTGCTTTCTTACTTAGAGCATTATTCTGTGCTGACATCTCCTTTCACTGCAGGAGAAACAGAGCTGGAATAGATACAGAGGTCATTTACAGCCTGCATAGAGCCAATAAAGCATTTAAATTACTGGGAATGCCTCAAAGTCTTAAATATATACTCACTAGAGTGAAGGAGAGAGTGGGAGAGATGTATGATAATATATATGTGGAAGGTACTCGAGGGTCTGGTCTCAAATCTGCACACTGACAATATATACAGGAGTGAGATATAGGAGAAAGTTAAAAAAAAAAAAAAAAAAAAAAAAAACTCAGTGAAATGCAGGAGAATTGTGGGCACAATAAAATTACTGTCAATATTCATGGTCCTGGACTGTTTCACAAACTACCACAAGATATCAGAAACACTGCAGGAATAAGTATAGAAGTCTTTAAGAGGAAATTGGACATGTACCTCCACCAAGTGCCATATTAACTAGGCTGTAATGGATGTAGGCCAGTGGGTTGCTGGCAGTAACAACCTGGTTGACCATGCAAGAACCAGACAGGCTTGGCCTAGGGCCAGGCTGCAGAAGGAAAACCCCAAAACTCTTTAAAAGTATATCATAGGTATCCTCCTTGCTGAGATTTGAAACAAGTTTCACACCTATGTAACAGTGTAGGTACAACTATATTCTTTTCTTCTTTCAACACACCGGCCGTATCCCACCGAGGCGGGGTGGCCCAAAAGAAAAAACCAAAGTTTCTCCTTTCAAATTTAGTAATATATACAGGAGAAGGGGTTACTAGCCCCTTGCTCCCGGCATTTTAGTCGCCTCTTACAACACGCATGGCCTACAGAGGAAGAATTCTGTTCCACTTCCCCATGGAGATAAGAGGAAATAAACAAGAACAAGAACTAGAAAGAAAATAGAAGAAAACCCAGAGGGGTATGTATATATACGCTTGTACATGTATGTGTAGTGTGACCTGAGTGTAAGTAGAAGTAGCAAGACATACCTGAAATTTTCCATGTTCATGAGACAGAAAAAAGGACACCAGCAATCCTACCATCATGTAAAACAATTACAGGCTTTCGTTTTACACTCACTTGGCAGGACGGTAGTACCTCCCTGGGCGGTTGCTGTCTACCAACCTACTACCTATATTCTGATGATAAAATGCAGGTAAAAATTATCTGGGACGAGAAGGAATGAGATCTAAAAATACGAGTAAAGAGCTAGATGGGAAATGTCCTGAGTTAACAATACAGCAGGACCCCTGTATCCATGGGGGATGCGTTCCAAGACCTACCGCAGATAGTAGCAAACCCTATATACAAGTCATTTTTTTGTTTACAAACATACCTATGATAAAGTTCAATTGGTAAATTATGCACAGCAAGTGGAGAATTATCACTTTCACTAAAGGGAAGCACTTTACGGCTTCTCTTAGGCTGTGAAGAACTGCCACCATCACTACTTTTGTGCTCTGTGACCATTAAGCAAAATTAAGACTGATTTCTGAGTCACAGTAAACCGTGGATAACTGAAACCATGGAAACTGAACCCGTTGATATGGAGGTTCTACTGTGCATGTTTCTGCATATTTAGGAAGATGGGGAAAAAAAATGCATAATATAATACTTACATCAACAAAGCCTCTTGCACGATCTGGATGGTTGCAGAGAAAACAGCCCCACTGTTGTTCCACTCCATTGTATTCAAAAACGTCAAAAAAACGTGCATTCCGTAACTCATGCATTAACATATCCATGTCCTGCAAGTGCAATTCATCATCTTCAGGAATTTCAATAATCTTATTTCTTTTAACACCCCAGCCATCTCCCACTAAGGTAGGGCACAAAAATTAAATACCACTTCACTATCACTGAATCCATCACCATCATGCCAGAGGAATACTGACACTACAGTTCAGATGCCCCTCCAAACTGCAGTATACCCACCCCTCCTTTAACCCTTAAACTGTTCAAACATATTTCTATGTTTATGAGCGTAGCACTCCGACCCTGATTTTCCCCATTTGAAAGCATGTAAAAAAAAAAAAAAAAAAAAAAGAGATATCTACGTTCAGAGCGCTACGCGAGCAAACGTAGATTTACGTTTGGACAGTTTAAGGGCTAAAGTGTAGGCACTGTACTTCCACTTCCAGGACTCAAATCTGGTTAACTGGTTTCCCTAAATCCTTTATGTTACCTTGCTCACATGCTAACAGTACATCAACTCATAAAAACCACTTGGCCCCCTCACTCACTCCTATTTAACATGCTCATGCATGCTTGCTGAATGCTCAGACCTTTTACATATGAAACCTTTATCTCTTCTAACCTTTCCTAGGATGACTCCTACCCCTCCTTCTCCCCAGTACAGATTTATACACCCTCCAAGTCATCCTACATTTTTTTTTCTCAACAAGTCGACCACCTCCAACTAAGGCAGGGTGACCCAAAAAGAAAATACTTTCATCATCATTCAACACTTTCACCTAACTCACACATAATCCTTGTCTTTGCAGAGGTGCCCAGATACAACATTATAGAAGCATATACATTTTTTTTTTTTTTAACAAGTCGGCCGTCTCCCACCGAGGCAGGGTGACCCAAAAGGAAAGAAAATCCCCAAAAAGTAAATACTTTCATCATCATTCAACACTTTCACCTCACTCGCACATAATCACTGTTTTTGCAGAGGTGCTCAGAACACAACAGTTTAGAAGCATATATGTATAAAGATACACAACATATCCCACCAAACTGCCAATATCCCGAACCCCTCCTTTAGAGTGCAGGCATTGTACTTCCCATTTCCAGGACTCAAGTCCGGCTATATAAAAATAACCGGTTTCCCTGAATCCCTTAACTAAATATTACCCTGCTCACACTCCAACAGATCATCAGGTCCTAAATACCATTCATCTCCATTCACTCCTATCGAACACGCTCACGCACGCCTGCTGGAAGTCCAAGCCCCTCGCCCACAAAACCTCCCTTACCCCTTCCTTCCAACCTTTTCGAGGACGACCCCTACCCTGCCTTCCTTCCCCTACAGATTTAAATGCTCTCCATGTCATTCTACTTTGATCCATTTTCTCTAAATGACCAAACCACCTAACAACCCCTCTTCAGCCTTCTGACTAATACTTTTATTAACTCCACACCGCCTAATTTCCACACTCCTAATTTTCTGCATAATATTTGCACCACACATTGCCCTTAGACAGGACATCTCCACTGCCTCCAACCGCCTCCTCGCTGCTGCGTTCACAACCAAAGGTTCACACCCATATAAGAGTGTTGTTACTAGTATGCTTTCATACATTCCCTACTTTGCCTCCATAGATAACGTTTTTTTGTCTCCTCATATACCTCAACGCACCACTCACCTTTTTTCCCTCATCAATTCTATGATTAACCTCATCCTTCATAAATCCATCCGCCGACACGTCAACTCCCAAGTACGTATCTGAAAACATTCACTTCTTCCATACTCCTCCTCCCCAATTTGATATCTAATTTTTCTTTATCTAAATCATTTGATACCCTCTTCACCTTACTCTTTTCTATGTTCACTTTCAACTTCCTACCTTTACACACACTCCCAAACGCATCCACTAACCTTTGCAACTTTTCTTCAGAATCTCCCATAAACACAGTATCATCAGCAAAAAGTAACTCAACTTCCATTTTGTATTTGATTCCCCCATAATTTAATCCCACCCCTCTCCCAACACCCTAGCATTTACTTCTTTTACAATCCCATCTACATATTAAACAATCATGGTGACACTACATATCCCTGTCTAAGGCCTACTTTTACTGGGAAGTAATCTCCCTCTCTTCTACACACCCTAACCTGAGCCTCGCTATCCTCATAAAAACTCAGTACAGCATTTAGTAACTTACTATATATTCCATTATTATTATCACACTGGCCGATTCCCACCAAGGCAGGGTGGCCCGAAAAAAAAAAAACTTTCACCATCATTCACTCCATCACTGTCTTGCCAGAAAGGTGCTTTACACTACAGTTTTTAAACTGCAACATTAACACCCCTCCTTCAGAGTGCAGGCACTGTACTTCCCATCTCCAAGACTCAAGTCCAACCTGCCGGTTTCCCTGAACCCCTTCATAAATGTTACTTTGCTCACACTCCAACAGCACGTCAAGTATTAAAAACCATTTGTCTCCATTCACTCCTATCAAACACGCTCACGCATGCCTGCTGGAAGTCCAAGCCCCTCGCACACAAAAACCTCCTTTACCCCCTCCCTCCAACCTTTCCTAGGCCGACCCCTACCCCGCCTTCCTTCCACTACAGACTGATACACTCTTGAAGTCACTCTGTTTCGCTCCATTCTCTCTACATGTCCAAACCACCTCAACAACCCTTCCTCAGCCCTCTGGACAACAGTTTTGGTAATCCCGCACCTCCTCCTAACTTCCAAACTACGAATTCTCTGCATTATATTCACACCACACATTGCCCTCAGACATGACATCTCCACTGCCTCCAGCCTTCTCCTCGCTGCAACATTCATTACCCATGCTTCACACCCATATAAGAGCGTTGGTAAAACTATACTCTCATACATTCCCCTCTTTGCCTCCAAGGACAAAGTTCTTTGTCTCCACAGACTCCTAAGTGCACTGCTCACCCTTTTCCCCTCATCAATTCTATGATTCACCTCATCTTCCATATACAGTGGACCCCCGGTTAACGAACTTTTTTCATTCCAGTATTATGTTCAGGTGCCAGTACTGACCGAATTTTTTCCCATAAGGAATATTGTGAAGTAGATTAGTCCATTTCAGACCCCCAAACATACACGTACAAACGCACTTATATAAATACACTTACATAATTGGTCGCATTTGGAGGTGATCGTTAAGCGGGGGTCCACTGTACTTGCAATATCTGCAACATTCCTCCCCTATCCACCATCATATGCCTTTTCTAAATCCATAAATACAATGAAAACCTCCCTACCTTTATCTAAATACTGTTCACATATATGCTTCAATGTAAACACTTGATCAACACATCCCCTACCCACTCTAAAACCTCCTTGCTCATCTGCAATCCTACTCTCTGTCTTACCTCTAATTTTTTAAATAATAACTCTACACTTTTCCTGGTATACTTAGTAAACTTCTTCCCTATAATTTTTATAATCTCTTTTGTCCCCCTTCCCTTTATATAAAGGGACTATACATGCTCTCTGCCAATCCCTAGGTACCTTCCCCTCTTTCATACATTTATTAAACAAAAATACCAAGCACTCCAACACTATATCTCCCCATGCTTTTAACATTTCTGCCATGATCCCATCAGTTCCAGCTGCTTTACCCTCTTTCATTCTACCTAATGCCTCACGCACCTCCCCCATACTCACATCCTGCTCTTCTTCGCTCCTAAAAGATGTCATACCTTACTGACCAGTGCATGAAATTACCGCCTTCCTTTCTTCATCGACATTTAAAGTTCCTCAAAATATTCCTGCCATCTATCCAATATCTCCAGCTGCCCATCTACTAACTCCCCTACTCTGTTTTTAACTGACAAATCCATTCATTCCCTAGGCTTTCTTAACTTTTTTATCTCGCTCCAAAACTTTTTCTTATTTTTATCAAAATTTCTTGACAGTGCTTCTCCCACTATCATCTGCTCTCCTTTTGCACTCTCACCATTCCCTTCACCTTTCTTATACTCTCCATATACTCTGCTCTTCTTACAACACTTTCTTATACTCTCCATATACTCTGCTCTTCTTACAACACTTCTGCTTTGTAAAAACCACTCATAAGTTACCTTTTTTTTCTTTTATCATACCCTTTACTTCATCATTCCACCAATCACTCCTTGTTCCTCCTGCACCCACCCTCCTATAGCTCATCCTAACTTCCTCCTCCCTTAGTTTATACACTTTGACCTCTCTCTTACTTGCTGTTGCCATTTTCCTTTTGTCCCATCTACCTCTTACTCTAATTGTGGCTATAACTATATAATGATCCGATATATCAGTTGCCCTCCATAAACACGTATATCCTGAAGCCTACCCATCAATCTTTTATCCAATACATAATCTAACAAATTACTTTCATTACGTGCTACATCATACCTTGTATACTTATTTATCCTCTTTTTCATAAAATATGTATTACTTATTACAAAACTTCTTTCTATACATAGCTCAATTAAAGGCTCCCCATTTTCATTTATACCTGGCACCCCAAATTTACCTACTACTCCCTCAACATTTTTACCCCCATGCACTCAACATTTCCCAAAATTTCTCTCTCTCCTCTACACCTCTCTTCTCCAGGTGCAAAAATGCTCACTATAACCCACTTTTCACATCCAACCCTTATTTTACTCCACACAATCCTTGAATTTATACATTTATATTCCCTCTTCTGCCATAACTTATCCTTCAACATTATTGCTACTCCTCTTTTAGATCTAACTATTTGAAACCCTTGACCTAATCCCATTTATTTCTCTCCACTGAAACTCTCCCATCCCCTTCAAGTTTGTTTCACTTAAAGCCATGACATCCAGCTTCTTCTCATTCATAACATCCACAACCATCTTTTTCTTATCATTCACACAACATCCACGCACATTCAAACATCCCACTTTGCTTTATCCTCTCTAAATATCTAAGCCACTTCACTAACTCCTCAGCCCTCTGGATAATATTAGCAGTAACCCCACACCTCCTCTATATCTGCAAACTATGAATTGAAGGAGGTGCAGGGTTACTAAAAGCATTATCCAGAGGGCTGAGGAAGAGTTATCGAAGTGGTTTAGACATTTACAGATGATGAAGCAAAACAGGATTATCTAGAAAGTATATAAAACTGTAGGGGAGGGAAGGAAGGATAGGGGTCACCCTAGGAAAAGTTGGAGGGAGGGGTAAAGGAGGTTTTGCAATAAATTACTAATGTATTAATTTATAAAAGAACCTCTGTTCACACTCAGTACAGGGCAATATAACTATCACAAATATTTATGTAAAATATAATTTGCAAATTGGTTTGAAAATTATTTATATGAATTATTTTAACACCTAGACATAAATAAATGACTGACCTTTGCGGAAGGGAAGGCTGAAGTGACCAGAGTGACGAATGTCTTTGTATCACATTTAAGAATGTCCCAGCAATTCTTAAGGCTGCTCACCTGCATCTCCCGAGTACTCAGGGCCACGCAGGACCGAGCCTAAACCAGCAAAATAAATAATAATGTAGGAATAGTCCATGAATTGTGTAAGCAAATTACTAAGTACATGTAAAAGGTAAAATATTTAATTTTCATTCTAATTGTAATGCTTCAACCTGTGTATTGAATACAAAAAGGATAATTCATACTAGCCCCTCAATTCTGATTATGATTTTAAAACTAAAGAAACTGCCTAATTTTTTTCTGGTAATTCATACAAAAGCAGTCATAGAACTGTACAATCTTACCTGAAGAGCAAGGAACATGAGATGAATCCAGATCCTTGGATTTCTAGTTTTCATAGTGAATAGATGTTTATTATAAAGACAATGTTCTCCTTTGCCCTGGCATGCAAAGTACAGCTTTGCATGTTTTTTATTTTTTCTCTCTGTTGAAGATAATATCCATGTTATAATGCAAAATCTTGAAAATGATATTGCCACTATGTCCCTGATTCCAAACAATGATGGTGAATGTGTTTTTTAATGAAGTTGTTGTAAAACACTGTACAGTATAATAAGCCCTAACAGTGCAAGCAAGCAATGCAATATTATTAACCCTTTGACTGTTTTCGACGTATAAATACGTCTTACGAGCCAATGTTTCTGACGTATATATACTCAATAATTCTAGCGGCTTCAAATCAAGCGGGAGAAAGCTGGTAGGCCCACATGTGAGAGAATGGGTCTGGGTGGTCAGTGTGCACCACATAAAAAAAATCCTGCAGCACACATTGCGTAATGAGAAAAAAAAAATGATCGTTTTTTGGAATAAAACGCCGAATTTGAGGTGTATTTTCGTATAGTATTTATTGTTGTATTCGCGTTTCCATGGTCTTAGGTGATAAAATGGAAAACATATTACAGAAATAGAGATGATTTTCATTACTTTGACGATGAAAACGACCTTGAAACTGAGCTCAAAGTAGCGGAAATGTTAGATTTTTACCAATGTTCAGGAGTAAATAAATCACACCACACGTCCAATACACGTCAACTGAGGAGTCTAATATTCTTCCACTAGTGCACTGATATTATTTATACCATTTTTACAATAATGCAGTAGTCTGCATAACATTAAATTTTGTATTTTTTTGTATGAATAAAAAATCAAAATAGAAAGCAATATTAATACAAGAGGGGCCTAGAGATGTGACTAATGAACAGAGCACATGTTATTTTACTGCCACGAATGTCTACCTTGTTTATTCTGGACCCTATTTTGAAATTGGCATCTTTTTTAGTTTGCGTGAAATTGGCCAAATTGCCAATTTCTGACCACCATATTGGGTAGTCCAAATTAGTAAATGGGAGGTTTCTTTTACTCAGCTGATAGATAAAATGGAGTTCTAAAGAAATAGCTATGAGTTTGGTCAATTGGAACAATGGAATTGGCTGAAAATAGGGCTCAAAGTCGGCGAAATCGCCGATACGCATATGTCGCCAAGACCGCAAACTTCGCGGGAGCATAATTCCATGAGTTTTCAACCAAATTTCGAAATTTTGGTGTCATTACCATCGGGAAAAGATTCTCTATCATTTCATAAGAAAAAATAATTTTTTTTTTTCAAAAATTGAGCGACATAGAATAACAGTTTCAGAAAGGGGCCTGAAACAGTCAAAGGGTTAATAGTAATAAAAGGAGCAGAAATTTTTTTATTATTAACACACTGGCTGATTCCCACCAAGGCAGGGTGGCCCGAAAAAAAAAAACTTTCACCATCATTCACTCCATCACTGTCTTGCCAGAAGGGTGCTTTACACTCCAGTTTTTAAACTGCAACATTAACACCCCTCCATCAGAGTGCAGGCACTGTACTTCCCATCCCCAGGACTCAAGTCCGGCCTGCCGGTTTCCCTGAATCCCTTCATAAATGTTACTTTGCTCACACTCCAACAGCACGTCAAGTATTAACCCTTTCAGGGTCCAAGGCCCAAATCTGGAGTCACGCACCAGTGTCCAAGAATTTTCAAAAAAAAAATTTGTTATTTTTTCTTATGAAATCGTAGAGAATTTTTTTGTAAAGGAATAAAAAAAAAATACAAAAATTTGGGGGAAAATTACGAAATTATGCTTGCAATTTTGATGTGTCGCATATTTAGAATCGGCGATTTTCCCGACTTTACTCCCCTTTTTAGGCCAATTACTTTTTCCCATAAACCAAAATTCTTAGCTATTCACTAGTTTTTAATTCTATTCTATCGATTGAGCACAAAAAATCCCCCAAGTAAAATGTTTAAAAACACAAAATAAAGTGTCGGAAATTGTTAATTTGGCCAATTTAACACAAAGTTCAAATATTCCAATTTCAAAATAGGGCCCGGGATAAAAAATGTAGGCTTTCCCGGGCACTAAACAACATTTCCTCTGTTCATTAGTCATGTTTTGGGGCTTTACAAAAAAATTTTCCATTTTGTTTTTTTTTACATAATGAATTTTTATTCACACCAAAAAATAGAAGATTTATTCTATGCAATACTGTAAAAATTGTATAAAATCATCACCATTTTGTGAATGTATATTAACCCACCAGCTGACGTGTATTAGACGGTGAGGTCTTTTGTTTACTGTTGAATTGGGAAAAAAATTTAACTTTTTTTTCCCCCGCTATTTTGGCTCAGTTTAAACCCATTTTGCTAAAACCAATCAAAATCATCTCTATTTTTGTAATATTCTTCCATTCATCAAATGAGACCAAGAAAAACGCAAATACAACTATAAAAAAAAATACGAAAAAACACTCAAAGTTGCTGTTTTTAAACGAAAAAATCAGATTTTTAGTTTTTTTTTTCATTTTAAAAAAGTGTGCTGAATCTGTTTTATGTGGTGCACACAAAACCCCAAAAGAGTATTCTCTCATATCAGGGGCCCCAAAAGTACCACTCACAGTTTATGAGTGGTGAGCTCATGGCGTAGATCTACGGTTTGGACACTCACCATAAAGCCGTAGATCTACGGGACGGACCCTGAAAGGGTTAAAAACCATTTGTCTCCATTCACTCCTATCAAACACGCTCACGCATGCCTGCTGGAAGTCCAAGCCATTCGCACACAAAACCTCCTTTACCCCCTCCCTCCAACCTTTCCTAGGCTGACCCCTACCCCGCCTTCCTTCCACTACAGACTGATACACTCTTGAAGTCATTCTGTTTCGCTCCATTCTCTCTACATGTCCGAACCACCTCAACAACCCTTCCTCAGCCCTCTGGACAACAGTTTTGGTAATCCCGCACCTCCTCCTAACTTCCAAACTATGAATTCTCTGCATTATATTCACACCACACATTGCCCTCAGACATGACATCTCCACTGCCTCCAGCCTTCTCTTCGCTGCAACATTCATCACCCATGCTTCACACCCATATAAGAGTGTTGGTAAAACTATACTCTCATACATTCCCCTCTTTGCCTCCAAGGACAAAGTTCTTTGTCTCCACAGACTCCTAAGTGCACTGCTCACCCTTTTCCCCTCATCAATTCTATGATTCACCTCATCTTTCATAGACCCATCTGCTAACACGTCCATTCCCAAATATCTGAATACATTCACCTCCTCCATACTCTCTCCCTCCAATCTGATATCCAATCTTTCATCACCTAATCTTTTAGTTATCCTTATAACCTTACTCTTTCCTGTATTCACTTTTAATTTTCTTCTTTTGCATACCCTACCAAATTCATCCACCAACCTCTGCAACTTCTCTTCAGAATCTCCCAAGAGCACAGTGTTATCAGCAAAGAGCAACTGTGACAACTCCCACTTTATGTGTGATTCTTTATCTTTAAACTCCATCCCTCTTGCCAAGACCCTCGCATTTACTTCTCTTACAACCCCATCTATAAATATATTAAACAACCATGGTGACATCACACATCCTTGTCTAAGGCCTACTTTTACTAGGAAATAATCTCCCTCTTTCCTACATACTCTAACTTGAGCCTCACTACCCTCGTAAAAACTCTTCACTGCTTTCAGTAACCTACCTCCTACACCATACACCTGCAACATCTGCCACATTGCCCCCCTATCCACCCTGTCATACGCCTTTTCCAAATCCATAAATGCCACAAAAACCTCTTTAGCCTTATCTAAATACTGTTCAATTATATGTTTCACTGTAAACACCTGGTCCACACACCCCCTTCCTTTCCTAAAGCCTCCTTGTTCATCTACTGTCCTATTCTCTGTCTTACTCTTAATTCTTTCAATAATAACTACCATACACTTTACCAGGTATACTCAACAGACTTATCCCCCTATAATTTTTGCACTCTATTTTGTCCCCTTTGCCTTTATACAAAGCAGAAAATACATAACAAATTTTAATACAAAGCAAATGCATATACAATACAGTACATGCATTGCCTGTTTCAGGCTAAATTACTAGTGGTTGAACAGGAATGAGCATAATTTTTCCAATTAAAAATTTCTTTAAAAATAAAAAACTTGCATTAAGGATATAGTAAATAAATGCCATGACAAAAATTGAAGAGAATGAACAACAAATTTATACATTATATACAGAACCTAAAACCCATGGGCTGTATCCCACCAGGGAAGGGTGACCTAAAAAGAAAAAAGCTTTTCTTTAAGTTTAGTAATTAACCCCTTAACTGTCCAAACATAGACCTACATTCTTACTGCCAGCGCTCCAAATGTAAATCTACATTTTATTTTTCCTGCCTCCAAATTTGGCATGGTTGGCCTAAGATGCCTGGTCAGCAAAGAATGGGCCTTAGCCCTCGGTGTGCACAGTACTAAAAAAATCTGGGAACACTTAGTACCTTGTGGAAGCACCAGTTCAATTGAGGGCCAGCTAGAGCAAACAGCGTGGCAAACACCAAGGATTCACTGATATTTCGTATTAACACTCCCCATTTAAGAGGAAAGTGATGTTGACCCCAAGTTTAGTGGCTTTGAGGTGGATGTGGCCACAAGTTGTCGTGGAAATATCAACAATTTCGATAATAACCTATGTGCAACATTTGTACAACACCCTTTCAATTTTGGTACTCTTGTAGTGTCATCCTGCCAGAATGTCCTATAACCTATGCCCTAAGTAAAAAGAAACAATTCTGGAACATGTAATATGTGTTTGGCAGGCTGGTTGGCTGGCTGGCTGGCTGTGTATCTGTCTGTCTGTCTGTATCTATCTCTATCTCTTTGTCTCTATCTCACAGAACACATACGTAAATACAATTATACATAGTGTAAATTACCTAGGATAACCCAAAAAATCCAAAGTGCTATACTGTGCTTGTAGATAGTGATCATGTATAATACCAGTCGGTTCATGAGCAACTCTCTAAGACAAGAGAGACAAGCAGATAGACACACAGGTAGACAAAGACAGAGCTAGACAGACAATGTTTATGTATAACAGTGAA